CTCTCCCGCGCCTGTGCCTGGCGTGGATGGGTGCCGGGCGTCCCCGTGCACGCACACGCGCACACGGGACACACGTGCCCGCCCGCCACGCGTGCGCTGCCGCACGCACGCGCAGCCGCTCGCTCAGGAAGCCGGATTGCTCCCCAGCGCGCCCAGCAGGAAGGACCCGGGCCCAGGGGGAGCAGCTTCACTCTGGCCTCGCCATCCTTGGGGATCACGGACCCCCGGAGTTGGACTAGAGCCCTCCAGAAGCCCCTTCCTCCCAGAATCTCTCCATGCTCCTGTGAGAAGAGTTGCCCAGTTCTCATTGGGAAGAAGGCAGGGGCTACCTGCTCTATAGAAAAGCAGAGAGGACACAGCCTTGTCTATCCCCCCAACATTAAAATTTTTTAAACTGGACTAAGACTTGACCATATGCCAGGACTGAAAAAAACGTGGCCAGCAAAAAGAAGCCATTACAAAACAGGAGTGAGGGATGGATGTTAGGAAGTAGTGGAGATTACAGTGATAGCAGATGAAAAGTAGCAGATCAGGAAACGGTTGGAAAAATGGAACGGATTCAAGCTAGCAGGTGCGGAGGATACACATCCCCAGGCCACAGAAACTTGGAGAGCAACTGGCAGGCGCTTGGAGAAGGAGAAATGAGGAAGGGATTCAGGAAAGACAAAAAGGAACGAGCTCTTTCAGCCTCCTAAGAGAGGTCTCCTCGTGTGAGAGTTGCTGGAGAAAGGGTGAAGCCCCCGAGCACGAGCTCGCGCCACCGAGAGCGCCGCGCACTTACGTTCAGAGCGTTCTTGGCAGCTTCTGCCTCGGAGCGGCTGTCAAAGCTAACGAAGCCCACGGGCTGAGGAGGGGAGACAGGAGAGGAGAGGAGAGGAGAGGCGAGTCAGGCAGGTCGGGAGCAGCGACGCTTCCGCAAGCGGCGCGCGAAGCAGTTCCCTGGGACGGGAAGCGCAGCGCTGGGATCTGCGCCACTCGCACAGCGCCGGCAGCTGCCAGCACCCACTTCTGAGAGGCTCTTACCTGCTTAGATGTGAGTTTTATGAGAGACCCTTCATATCCCTGCAAGAAAAGAAGAAAACCCAGTTAGTCGAGATCCTTGTGAGATGTCCCAGGCAGATGATGCTCAGCAAGGGCAACCAGAGAGAGACTGATGTTATTGATGCCTCAGCACCTGAACAAGTTTTGACCAGTGTCAGTGAGTGAAACGTGTCAGGGTCAGTGAATAAAATGACCAAAAGGGTTTTCTTCAGGAAGCCACTGGGCTCCTGGATCCAGCTAAGTTCAGCCTTGCCAGGAAATACTGTGGCAAGGGCTGGAAACAAGCTGAGTTTTGCCACAGTAGCCTAACCTGGGGCCCAGCCTAGAGCAGTTAATGGGTTTCTGATGCCTTTACAAGGGCCAGGCCCCCCAACATACCCCAGACACCCGCCCTGACCTCGCACTGCTCTGTTTGCAAGGACTCTTTGCTCACAGGCATCTCTTGCACCCCTTTTTGCTCTCACGCCTGTGGAGAGGGACCACATTCTGACATTGGGATGGTGGCGGTGGCCATCAGAAGCCACGTGCTCCACGGTCACCACTGCTGCACAGATGTTCCCAGATCACCTCTCCCCCCTGGAGGGACATTTATCATCTGGTACCTTAAATGGCCTGAACAGCAGGTAAAGCTCCCGAGGCTTGATATCCAGAGGCAGACCGCTCACAAAGAGTGTCCTGACCTAGAAAAGAAGAAGGAAGGTTCATGCAACCCCTCACCCAGCACCTTTGAATAGACTTGTAAGCAATGCAGATAACCACACGGTGAGCACGCCTGGCGCTGGCCACCTCTGGTCCCTGTGGGGAGGTCCCCACAGCCCATACTCGCAGGCAGCCTCAGTTGCTGCTCTCTCATGACCCGTGTCCGCAGGGCTTTGCGCCCTCTCCTCTCCCTGGAGACTCCTTGAAGTGATGGCGCAGCATAAAGACATCTCCCAGAGAGAGAAAACTCCAGCCAAAGGGCAATTTAATGGACAGCTAAATGCCTTAAAAAAACTTAAGGGATGAAGCCCATTTTCGGGGGCTCTTCTCCCTAAAGTGACTGCAGAAGAAACCGTTCAGATCAGACACCTGATGCTCAGATGGTTTGAAGTGACCTGAGATCATTCCTAGCCACATGGAGGCTAACCAGAGGGTGCCCTCGGCTCAGCTCATGACCCTCCGGCTGGAAGAAGCTTCCTAACTCATCTGCAAAACAGGATGTCTCTGCAGGGCTTCGATCCTGAAGCAACTAAGCAAGGACCCAGAGAAGCAAGCCCCAGACTACTTCCTCTACAGCAGAGGAAGGTCAGTGTTTTGAACGCCGCTGATTTTCAGTAGTCCTCTCTTCCTACCAACAGCTCACACTGTGGCATCCAGCAGTGTCCCCAGGGAGCTGGTTTCTCCTCGGCATGGCAGCAATGGCAGGTAAGGCCAACCTGTTGCCCTCGCCTAGTTGTCAGAGTTGGCCAATACTGCAAAACATTAACACCTTAAGGCAAAACACTCACCTTGGAGTCTTTACAAGGAAATGCAGCCTTGCTCTTACGTGTGCACCCCTGAGGCACCCTTCGCTCAGCCCAGGGACCCAGACACGCTCTGGGGAGCCCCCGAAGCTTTGACACCAGCTCGTTTCCTCCAGGCCAGGCATAAGCTCAAATAAACACCCAAAGGATCAAAAAGCAAACCCTGATGGGAAAAAGGAACAGGGGCAGGAGATGCCCTCCTTGCTCGCAGCTCCCTTTGATCTATTCCGATTGCTCCTGCCATGCAGACAGGATGGGGGGATTTTCTTGGCCCTGCCTCACAAAGGAAATGTTGGTCACTTCTGCTCAGAACGGTGCTTGAAAAGGAACAGAGGAGGGGGACACACTCGGATGCTTAGGGAAATGCAGGAAATAGGTGACAGAAAGGGATACAACTGGTTATTTTGAACAGACCACCACAGGACATGGTGGCTTGCCTAAAAAACAGGAGGAGCATCACAGACGCTCGGAAACGGGGTCTTTTCCCGCCTCTGGGCCACATGGTTGCTCCATGTGAAAGATGCTGCAGCCGGAGCGCCGGGAGTTAATCCATGTGGCAGGAGCAGCAGCGCTGGCCCAAGAAATCCCAGTCCCTACCTCGCCTGCAACTCGCCTGGAAAGGCTTTTAAGCCCACTGTGTTAATTGAGGCAACTCACTGTGGTAAGTGAATTAAGAGGAGGTAGCTTCACGCGAGGAAATTGTCGCAGCAACAGTCGGTTGGACCAGCCCTGGGTGACAAGTCTGCACTGGAGGAGAGGGGAAGAAAACTTGATTTTTGGCCAAAAGTCCTGTCCTGCAGTTGTGCCAGCCCACCCACTATCCCAGCCGAAGTACTGGGACACATAAAACTGCCAGACCAGGCCTATTCTTCGTCTGAAATTTGTTCTTTCTCTTGTAGATAAAAGATATCTAACACATCTCTGAAGCTCTCTGGGAAACATCCCTGCTTTGTGTAACAAAACCTCTGGCTGACCTACGGCAAATATCTATTAAATAACAAAAGGTACTCGGCTCTGTCGGCACAACACGGGCCATTTGCATATACCCCTCATGGCAACAGCCCAGGGCTGCTGATATGGATCACTTTATGCATGCAGCCTGGAAAAGGCCCAGGGAGCCACCAAAGCGCAGAGCGCCGGCACTTAATGCATCTCAAAAAGACAGGCCCCTGGATGCAGATGGCCCCAAAACAAAAACCAGGATCTGTGAGCTCTCCTGTGCTTATTCTGCAGCCCAAGAGCATAGCACAGCCTGCGCAGGGTGGGAAAAGGTCTCTGGGGGGTCTTCCCCCAAGCTCTGCTCCAGGCAGGACAACCCGTGGTTACGTGAGGGAGCTCACGGCTTCGGCCAGGCGGGTGCCAGGATCTCAGGGTGAACGGGATCGGGCCGTGCACGGCCCAGCACGATGCTCCTTCCTAACCTGGGGTTGTCTGGGTTGCAGTTACACACCACCCTGAGAGCCAGGCCCTCAGGAGTATCCTGGAAAAGCATTTTCGGGATGCTGAGCCCGCAGGAAAGCACAGAGACAGACCCCCAGCTAGAAACCGGTAGGTCATCCTTCCCAAGCCTCAGCTGCCTTGCAAAAACCCCATCAGATCAGCAGTTTTTGCTTCTGCTGTGGGAGTTGCTTGGAAAAAAAAGCCCTGTGCTGTTCCTACCATGTCTGTCTTCTCTCTGCATGAGGAAGAACAAGCCAAACACGAGCCCTCCAGACCTGCAAACTGCAAGGAAAGGCCAGCTGCATAAAGAAGGAGAGGTCACGGCTGAAGCCTTTCGAGCTTTAAGGACTTGCTGCTTTCAGAGCAAGCAGGGATGGCCCCAGCAGCCAGACCAGCATGGGGAGAGACCCACGTTCTGCCCTTGCTGATCTGCAGGCATAGCATGAGGCAGGACTAAAGCAGGCTGAGGATGCTCCTCATCCTCCTTTGATAGGATCTGACGTCTTATAAGGAAGGATGGCTCTACAGGCTCAGCAGCTAATTTGGTTTAGAGGGAGCTGGCACAGACTCTCTGTAAATGCTCCAAACTCTTTTGAGCATAGTCTGGGTAAATGATTGCCAACCCTCCAGTTAAGAAGCACCCATACCTTCGTCCTCCACCAAACCACTCAACAGAGTCCTTGAGGAACAGCTCAAATGCCACGCAAAAGCCGAGAGAGAAGCTGTAACCACGCAGCAAAGCGGCTGGGAGCACCAGAAAGGTTTCTGTGTGGCTTAAGCGTGAGGTGAGCCACACAGCGAGCACCTTCAGGTGGCCCATTAGATCCATTGGATCCTCCAACACATAGCCCGCACAGCCAGAACAGGGGCTTTGCTCTATATCAGCTCTCTCTACTGGAATGCAATGTAAACAAGGCAGGTTTACCCTGTCTTAGAAAAAAAGGTTATTTCCCATCAAACACAACCAGAGAAACACTGTTTTTTTCTTTTTTTTTTTTCTCCCTTACAAATATCTACTTTTTGGGAGCAATAAAAAGAGGAGTAGGGAATTACCGCTGCCCGGACCCTCCCTGGATGCCCCAGGACCTGTTCCTGCGGGTGGAAAGTTCTGCTGCCGCAGGGGTCGGGCAGAATCCACCGCTCACCGTATTCAACGGCACCAGAAGCAGCCAGGAGCTGCTGGAGCTCGTCCTGGTCTCGCCAGCGGGCACAGGACCAGGCTTGGTTGCTGATTCCCGCCAGCTCCTCCTGCCTTTCTCTCCCGAGGGTCCCTTTTGACGCAATGTTTAGCTTTTAACCGAACAAGGATCTGGACTTAATGTTGGGATAACACCGTTTTTTTCCCTCATTTTTGGCTCAGCATCTCATGCTGCTTGCTCTGCACGGTTCTGTCCCGGTTGCTCCTCAGTGAGAAGGTGAAAAAAGTCTTTAAACAAGAAAGTTCTCTTTGAGATGACTGGAGAAATCCTGGAAGCAGAGAAATATTAGGAGAGACCACCCTCTCACCCGGAGCAGGCAGGACACG